CCATGCATCCATCTTGATGGGGGATGAAAAACTATCTAGTATGGTCAGATGAAATCTACTAGTTCCGACTCAACAAGTATGTCACAACAGTTCAACTACAACACAAAATTCATATAAGAACCAGAGAGAAGTATCAATCAAGGATACAATCTGAGCAATGCAAGTTGTAACAACTGCAAGCAAGGACAAAACAGATCCCAGAACATTGAGCTGCAGATCAGTCACAGTCGCAATGCCAACACCCACAAGAAGAATGGTTAGAGAAAACTGGATGCTCCTACTGCACAAAGATAAAGAAGATATTAGATATAGCCATAAGTAGACAAAGAAATCAAAGAAAGCAGGCATACATCATAAAAACGATTAAAAAAATACAAGATGCAAGACATGGATGTGAGACAAAAAATAATCAAAAGTCAATCCCTGAAAAATGTAGTTTGGAGTTAGTCCATCAATAACCTCTCAGTGCATGTGGTAAAAGTTTTATGCATTCTGAAACTATGTCAGATATCTTGGCAGTATAGAACAAAAAACTCATTCAGACTCACCATCCAAAGAACTAGTTATTCTGTTACTACTTATGAACAAAAGCAACAATCTTCTTGCCATGTGTGTCAGTAACTTCATCAACTCATTCGTATCTATACTACTATTAAAAGTGTGAATGAGAGTATGGAATTTCGTTAACTCATGCATTAAACTTTTGCATGCGGTAGACAGAATGTAATTTGAACAACCACTTTTCTCCTCATTCAAATCCCTCTCATTAAGTCTTATATTTAAGGTATCAATTCCCATAACATTCACTGAATCCTTTTCTTGACTAGAATGCCCCTATTTTTGAATTTGGTCCCTCTCTAATTGTTAGGGCACAAAATGTAATTTGAACTACTACATCTCCTCATTCAATTTCTTCTCATTAAGTTTTATATTTAGGGTATTAACTCATTCTTTCATTGAATCCTATATTAATTAACCATATTAAATAAATAAAAGTGTGGCAAAGAATAATTGTTTTTATTGATGATAAAAAGAAAATACAAATTAAAAACCAACCCAAAAAATGGAGTTGTTTACCTGTTTGGTGCTGGGTCAACAATTCAACCTTTTGGATAAAAATGCGTCAACCCTTGATGCCATAGTTAAATAATAATAATAATAATTAAAAAAAATGAAAACACATAAGCATCTAAAAATACAAAAAAAATAGAGAAAACATTTGGGCACATATCTAATATGGTATATTTGTCATATTAAACAAAAACAAGTGTGACAAATAAGAATAATTTTTGTAGACATAGAAATATAAAAAATTGTAGAAAATTTTAGATACATATTATTTAATATCATCATCAAAAATTGCCACGTGTAAAGCGTGTGCACACTTACTAGTCTGGAATAGAAGTTCTTAATGACTTCTTGTCAAGACCCTATTTTGGCCATATGAGCAAGGTAAGATGGCCTACTTAGTTAGGTCACCTAAACTCTACTACAGTCGGTGTTCCTTTAGCAGATGAGACATATAAATAAAGGCTTGAAATCAAAAAAAGAAGAAGAAGAAGAAGAAGAAGAAGATTCGATGTCAGATAATACTCAAGATGTTGGGGAAGGAGTTTAACTTTCCATTTCCTAAGGGAGGTGTTTGGAGCACATTCTAGAACTGCACATCACTACCCGTAGTACCAATTGCAGACCACAAAAGGAGAAGCAAAATATGGTTAAGTTTGTTTGCCTTTACCTCTTCTTTTACTTTTTTTTTTCTTTTCTTTTTGTTGTGTTTTATTGTTATTGTTCCCTTGGCCTTGCTGTGTAAAAGACTAACTAGGCAAGAAGCTGTACCATACAAGAAATTCCTTTCACCCCAGATCCAGCAAGACAGTTTAGCCACTGAAAGCATTTCCTTTAGATCCACCAAGACAGTCTCTCTTGTGTCATTTAGGAAATAGACCAGACCACAAAGGCCCCTGCCAAAGATTTGACGACCCTACTTGATTGCATATGCAAATCAAATCACCTTTCAATGATGAAGAGAAATGACTTCAAAATGAACTCTGTAACTTGAATCCAAATGCTTTGATCTTAAAAGGGATTACTCCCAAGGTGATGATCCGCCACTAACCATTGAGAGAAGCAAAGGTTCCTGGACCAAAATCTCCTCTCAGGCCTTGTTCGTTTACAATTTTGTAACTTACCCGGGTAAGTGCACTTACCCAGGTAAATGTTTCCTAAGTGCACTTACCAAGTAAATGTTTTACCTAGGTAACATTTACCTGGGTAAGTTCACTTACCCATTTTCTTTTGATTCCCAGGTAAGAATATAATTACCTTTTTAACCATAAAAAGCTAATGTCAAAATGGGCAAACTTGTCCCATTATGTTTTATAATTTTCCCCCAAGTGGGAAAGTAACTTACCCACCTGGGAGATGGGTAAATTTTATCAGGTAAATGAGGCTCTCTTTACCGTGGGGCCCAGTAGTTAATGCAAAATAGAATGCTGTAAAGTTGGTCAATGGGAAAGAGATACCCATTGACCAACTTTCCCCCTCTTATTTACCGGCAAACAAACAGGGCCTCAAGCACTGAGATAGAGTTTAGGCAACATCTTGAACAAAGCAACAACCAATGTATGCAAAAAAACTATACTCAAGAAATAGTATGAGAAAGGGAATTCATTCTTATCCAAACCAATCTAATAATCATGGTAGATTTGTAAAGATAGACACCTGGGTAAGAACAAGAAGATAGAATAGGATATGTAATTATGTATCCCCAAGGAAATTGATAGCTATGTGTGGAAAACCTTACCCTAAGCACTAGAACTTTGAGTTTCTTCACACGGTCCCTTACACTTGAAGCCTCAACCCATAAGTTGGGGAAAACGAACCCACACTGATCCAGGGAACTAGCAGCCTACAAAGGGAAGGAGGAAGACAAACAATCAAAATTAGTCATGGAAACAGCAATAACCCTTTCAGTAGGTGGAAAAGGGATGTGGCATGTAAGGTCAAGCTAGGGCCCTCAGTTCACCATTCTCTGATCCCAGGCAATTGGTTTTAGAACAACAAAATAAGATACCCACAAATAGACAAGGTTAGGGTGCATTAACCTCTATCAGATGAAGGTTATGATACCTAGGCGGTTGCCAGCAATCAAGTAAGTAGACCGTACCTTCAATTTTGATGGATTTGATTGAAATTTGGGACTCTGGTGTCTACCCTTCCATCTGTGGAGAAAGGCTGATCCTCAAAATGGTTGGTAGGGTATGTAGGGGCCTAGAAGCAGTTGACCACTGAACTAGAATGGGAACTGCTCTTGTATGAGATTAAAGCTGAAGAACAAGAACCTTCTCTCTGTTCCCTGTTGAAAGGTTAAAGAAGAACAAATCTAACCCAGCTAATTGAATCCTTAACTCAGGCAATGATGTGGATTGTGAATCTACCACATCACCTGATGATCACTGGCAACCTCAACATGGATGGTGGAATAGTGAAACAGGATTCTTGTAGCCAACCCCATATAGTTGGGATAAGGCTTGGATGATGATATGGGGTCGGCTACAAGAAAATTAGATATGTTATTAGAAGAAAAATACAAGAAAGAGGCCATTGGGATCCCAAGCACAAAGTGAGGATTTGGCAACAGAACTCAAGAAACAAGGGCAACACCTATATTGCAAAGTAACAAAAAAACACAAATAGAAATCCTATAATACAGTTTAATTCACCCAACCCTTGCCCTAGCAAGAATATTAGCTAAAGAATCCAACTGAATGGGATGATAACCCTAAATGCCAAGGCCCTCGCCCTCCTGATAGCATATCTTAATCTCCATGGGACGGTCAGAATTATCTAATGCAACCAATAAGCACCAAGAATCATCTTCTTTAGCTAATATTCTTAGTGCAAGATTTGATGGGACTGTCAGAATACCAGACCATATCTTTGGGACTGTCAAAATATCAAATAGCTGGGTTTTCTTTGTTTTACATTGGCCTCCGTCCTTCTTAGTGATCTGGCATGGTCTCTAGACCTATACTTGGGCTTCAATCAGGCCTTAGGTTCAAATAGATTCTTGTTAGCAATGTTTCTTAGTGCAAGTTTTGATGAGTATAATACACAAAATAAAAATAAAAATCCTATAATACAGTTCAATTCACCCAACCCTTGACCTGGCAAGAATATTAGCTAAAGGATCCGTCTTCATGAGATGATAACCCTAGATGTCATGGCCCTCACCTTCCTGATAGCATATATTAATCTCCATGGGACTGCCAGAACTATCAATCATCCAACCAATAAACACCAGAAATCATCTTCCCCTTATACCAGCTCCAATCTCTTATCCCATTAAAGAACAATCAATAGGTGCTTCCAAAAAAATGCCAAATTCTCATCTCTGACATAATTACAAGTTCCATATCGGGTAAAACTAAGCAAGGGTGTTCTCCCCCACCCCCACCCCCCCATCTAGCACACAAAGGCCCTGGGTTCAGGTTCCCAAGCAAGAGAAACCCATGATGGAGAAAAATAAGAAAGGCTAAGAAAGATCCAGATTGTTTCCTTTTTTATCCATAACTGATTAATTTTAGACGTTCTCTTCTTGACTAGTTAACTGGAGTAACACCAATCTTCAACATTACCTTAACAGGATCAGCATTACCAGCATGGGGGTGTTGGAAGACCCATAAATCATGTTTTTCATGATGTTTTTACAGCAATTAAGGTCCTTTATATAGACCATAAGGGCACAGGGATAAGGTGATCTGTCAAACTTTGTATGAGATGACCATGAACTCTTCAACCTAAAAACTAGCAACACTCTGAAATCACTGCCAATATAGAAATAACTTCTAAGGCTTCTTAAAGAGAGGAATGGTGCTGCACAGATATAACTGTGTCTTGTACTCTTATGCACTGATTAGCCTGAACCAGAGAACCACCTTTTTTCTGCATTATCCCTTCACAAAGGAAGTATGGAAAATGGCTTTAAGTACCTTCAGGTGGAAGGGTTGTTTCCCAGCCACAATTGAAGGCTCTCTTAATGGTTGGCATAAAAGGAAAAAGTCAGAAAGGCAAGATTTTATGAGGCATAATATGTTGCAGCTTTTTGGAGTACATGGAGTCACAAACTGAGAGGAATGCCTGCATTATTGAAAACGATGCATATACAAAGGAAACTCTTACCATTAGAGTGAAAACAACACTATGTTCATGGCTGTCAGCTAACAAAAAGTTCAGTGGAGCACCTTACAATTTATTTTTTGAACTATAGACCTGTATTCTTGATTTTTTTTACTTTCTTGACTCTCTTGACTTTATTCCCTAAACACACATGCCCATATACAAACAAATATGCACATAAAGAAGGAGATGAAGAGAGGAAATCATTATGACAAAATGTGATCCCAACCCCAACAAGCATGCCTAACAGTTCAACCCTTTACAAATGATGACAGAATTCAGACAAAATTCCAATAAACCCAAGTATTCCAGCCATTAACATGGAACCTTCACTATTAAACGCATGGTTCCAAGTAGTCAACCATGACATCTGCAATAAAATCCACTTGAATAAAAAAGGCAGACATAAATTTGTCATGGCATTACCTTTCAAGTTTCAACAGTGAGTAACTTGTGCTTGAATAATTTCATTAGAAATAAAACAATACAAAAATGACTAGAAATTATTTATTCACTATAGTATAGGCAAAGGTTCAGAAAATTATAATAATTATTATTATCATTTTGTTTAGAGCAAAAATAAGATGAAGACCAACCTGAATCTCTTCCTAAAGAAGAGGGTCTCCAAAAGAACAGTACAAGGGATGATTGCTAGCTTAGTCATCTGCAGTGGAAAACAATGATGAAGAATATGACCATGAATGTCATAGTTTAGGCATAAACAGAACTTGATCTCAGTGAAAACTAAATAAATAAACCACTATTACCATCTAGGAACATCTATTCATACATCTATAACAATTTTTACTTGTCTTTAGGTGATAGAAAATTTTGAAAATCTGAAAGAAGAAATGGTAAGAGATAACTACAATACTGAAAACATCCCATTGCACTTTATGGCTTTTTATTTTTATCAGTGCACTTTATAGCTCTGCTTCAAGAGAGAATTGTCTAGAAAGATGAATGAAACAATCCAATTGGCAAGGTTTAAAATCTCAGTGTCGGTGGAAATGTCGCTCACCCAAATATAAGAAACATGTCAGAAATGTCGGAAATATCATATGGAAATATTGTAAAAATTATAGGCATGGTGGAAACATTGTAAAATGTGCAAAATATAGAATGATATTTTATGAATGATAAAAGAAGCATAGACACACCCTTTTAAATTATTGTCTTGTTCCAAACCACTAAACAAAGCTAAGAAACTAAGGTTATAGACAAAGGAGTATGTTCAGAAGTTGCCCTGTAAACTTTAAGATTCAAAGCTTCATGATAGAATGAGCTAAAGCAAAACTTGAACTCATAGAAAATGTAAATGGTTGTAATATATCAACCAAATAATTTATTACACAAAAGAAAAACTAATATTTAACTTCATGCTTGAAATGAATATTGAGCTAGCTCAAAGTAGTAATCATGTAAGTTAGGCAAGCAATCACATTGTCACTCCACATATCTACAATATCATCACCAACTTATGTTATAATACTATATATTGTACTCCATATAGTGCTAGTAGCGTTCATTGGGGAATATGTCAATTCCAGCGAAATTTCGTGTCTACCCATGAAATGAAAATATTAGGGAAATTAGGGACATTTTAAACCATGCCGATTGGTCAGTTCACTAGTAATAACAAGAATGAATTTACAAGAGCCAAGCTAGTTTGTCTGAGAAAAGAAAAAAGACAAAACCACATTGATCCAACAAGGACCAGACTTCAGCCTGAAACTCTACATACAAAGTTGTGCAATATGAATAATCTCATTCAATATTCACATATTGTACCAGACAAAAGTTGTAAGAGAAAAGAACTCTACCTGATAGAAACCAACAGAGTTGAAACCCAAGCTAAGATTCAAAAGTCCAATGGAGATCCCATTGAGTATTCCAAAACCCATTACAGCTCTTGCATCAAAAGGTTTGTGCTCAAACAGTTTCATCCATAATGCCACATGAAGTGAGCAGAATGTGACCAGAAGATGCCAGCTTGTTAAAGTTGTGGCTGCACAGCACAAGGTCAGAAGAAAACATATAAAGATCTTTGCATATCAAGTAAGGCACTTTTAACCCATAAAAATGAATTCAATATTTCAAGAACTCTTTTTTGGTTTATAACCACAGCATCTTTCCCAGATGGAATGACCAGAAAACAAGCGCAATGAGAAGCAAGTGTTCACTCCCTAGAACCTATGAGAACAACAAAGTCGTTATTTAAAAAACCTGTCCATCAACATGACAATAGTCCCCATGAATCAACTTCCACGAAGAAATTGGTGATGCAGGCATTGAAGCAAAGAAAGAAACCGTGGAAGAAGAAACCAGTTTATTCATATTCTCGAACCAATGGAATTTTGAATTTTTTTGGTGATTTGGATGAGTTTTTCATAAGTTTATTTTTAGTTCATTAGCATCCATGGAATAGGGTTAGTCATCTTATAGAGTCAATATAGACAGTTTTTAGAAATTTTGAAAACTTGAAAATACAGCAGTCACTTCTTTCAGCCTATTTTTCAATGTGGGTCTGGTGTCATCAGATGGGTTATTGAGTTAACTATCCAATGAGACCAAGATCTTCTAAAATAACATGTTTTGGAGGAGTTATGGCCATCTTAGTGATAGGGTGTCAATGTGGCGGTTTTTGACAGAATCTGAGTCTTTCTTTTTTTTTTTGGCTTATTTTGGAGTTATTCTTGGTTTATTTAGTTGTAGTAGGATTAGTAATCGATTACTATAGTCATTTTAGAAGTTGGAATCCATTTAAGTGTCCCTTGTATATTTTCCTATGGTTTGCTTAGTTTTGAAGCAAATAATTCTAGTAAATGACAAAATCATGCAACTCATGAAAACTTTGTCCTACAGACATGGTGGGACCTACAAAAAGGCACACTACAAAATATTCTTTTCATGGATCTCATCTTAGCATATAGGACAAAGAGGTCTAAGAGTTGCATTCCTAGTTTTGTAGCAGTTAGGAGTTGTTTGTAATCTTTTTTTTTTTTATCAGCATTGTTTGTAATCAATTTCCTAGTTGAAATTGTGGCCCATAAAAAGTCATCTAGGACCTTAATTTGAGTCTATAAATAGAACCATTGTGATTGAATTTTAGGATGAGAATAAATGGAATAAAAGTTTGTTTTGAAGTTACCTTCAAGTAAACTTGTAATCTTCTTTCTCTCTCTTTCCTATCTCTTCTAAAACAACAATATTTTTTTCTTTTTCTTTTTCTTTTTTTTTGAGAAAAGATAACTTGTATTAAACTTGAATAAATAAAAATGGGAAGGGTCTACATGAGAGGATTTTTCTTTTCATAATTCAGATCCTTAATTTCCCCTCTTCTTCCTGCCGTGTCCAACCTAGTGAGACTTTCTCTTCCCATCTACACCAAAGGGTCTACGATTACATCTATTTTTCTATTAAACCCCCTCTAGGAAGATCCATAGCTTGTGCAATTTCTTGTCCTCAAACTTTTCTCCAACAGGTGGAATACCTTCTGAACCAAGCCCCTAGTAATCCCTCATTATCCAAATATCAAAAGGCTCATGAAAAATTATCTCACTAACAGCAAAAGGTGATAGCACCATTTAATCCTTATTTACTTTTCAGGGATAATTACCATCCAACCTCTGCACTTCATAGTAGCAGAAGCATCACGATACAATGCCAAGCCCCAGTTAATTGCAAGAAAGATGGTGAATTCACATAGTCAACATCCCAGAGTTTATGCAATGAAACTAAATGTAGAAATGTGGATTCTGTATGATAATTCTGATAGTAGAACCTGGTACTTTGTATGAATGTTGTCTATTTTAGTAGTTCATCAACCATCAGAATCTATAAATATTATGTTGTACCAATAACCCAATGTGCTGATTAGATTCAGAACAAAATCAATATCAATACAACAAATATGGGAACAAAAATAAAATTTCCATTTGATCAAATGATATATGAGATTGCCAAGCCATAGGAAAGAACCACCAACTTGTATACATAAAATTAGAGAGAGATAGACATGTCGCTACTGGTACTTCCAATTAATTAAGGAATCTTCCTAAGTTGACCTTCGCCTCTCAGGAACCAGTAATTTGCCTTGTCTACAGCCTAACATCAAACTAATCCGAATAAAATACAAGTTCAACCGACTTTGAAACTCAAGTTGGATATAAGAGATTTAAAGCTCGCATAATGGTTATAGTTGAAAAAGCATTGAAAATTGAAAATGATCTATACACTTCTGCAATTGGAAAATCTGCATAAATCATCGGGGAGAATCTAATGGCAAAACAAAGCACCAAAGAACACCCATCAGTTTAACAATACATAATAACTTCCAAATAACCGCTTTGACTGATTGAGATAAATAAGGGGCAATACTTTTCAGACGAAATAATGAATCTGAGAACTGATAGATAATTCACTAACCGAAAGTGAAACCAAGTGAACTAATAAGCGCCTTGTTGCAAATCACAATCGATACGGACGAAACCACTGAAAGACTCAATGCTCCGATGGTTCCCAGCTGAAACCGCCCGCTCTCACTCATCTTATCTCAGCTTTAATCACTACCTTCTCGATCTGGATCTAGCACTCTATCCATCAGAAACTACAGTGTACTCCCAAGACTAAAGTGTAAGAAAACGCACGTAAAATTGAAGATGGCATTCTCACCTCATTCCTATAGTCCCCAGAGGATAGACAAATCAACACCGAAACAAGTTCAACTGAAAAAGGAACCCAAGATTCAGACAAATCAAATTTAGCTCTTACGATTTTGAAGTAGATGAAAAGAAATAATAATAAATTCAGTCTTTCAGAAACCCCGATCTTTTCCTTATTCTAAAAGATCAGCAAAGACAGAAAGCGGAAAAAATTATGTCCAAAGAGAGGAAAGAAGAGAGCAAAGAGAAGCTGTTCGTTTCTTTTTTTTTATCGAAAAACAAAAAAGAACGGAAAAGAAAAGAAATTCACCTTTGTAGCATTATCAGAGAATTTCAAAATTTTAGTTTGAAATATTTGGGAACCATGGTACTCAGGTTTCATTTCTTTGGCTTCTCTTTATGCAGAAAAAAACAAGTTTGCGGGTGCCGGGTATGCATTTTCTCCCCCTTTCACGCCGCGCATATAGTTTTTGGAGCTATACAAACAAACGTACGCGCGTACATTATTCATAAAATTCTCTTTTGAAACTCCCCCTTCACTTTTTCTCACTTTCTTAAACTTACCCTGGCTGCTGGCTTTTCATTTTTCAAAATTTCCACAAGTCAGAAGAGATTTGCCGTTAGCATATAGACGGTTATTGTAAAATTACTCTTCTAATCCTCTGTTTGGATTTGCCATCTAACCTACCTTAAGCATAGTTGCCGCCGGTTAGGAAAGACGGTCTTTAGCAGTCAGCCGGAACGATGAGTAAGTAAAATCCTAGAGCCTTGGCAAGTTAGGGTGGCTCAGGTACGTTAACTGGCTTGTTCCCGTAGAGATGGGATTCGATTCCCGCTATCATCGGTATGGGCTGGGCTTAGGCCTGGCCCTTGTGTAGCACGAACCCAATCTGAGTCTAATTTGACTTTATCCTAACCTGCCTCGATTATATACATGTATATATGCACCTATAAAAATATATTTATATGTATATATGCATACAAATCAATTTTTAGTGTAGACGGTTTGGCCAATTCAAATCCAACCCGAGCCCGAACCCAATACAAAAATCAAAAGGTATTAAATTTTTGTGTGGATTGGGCTTTGATTAAAGGATAAATTTCTTAAATTATCCTTATAGTTTAGTTAATTGATTAAGTATACTCTTATTGTTTGACTATTATTTAATACTATCCCTACTATTTCAGAAGAATTATCATTACCATTAAAATATTGATGGAAGGGCTGAAATGCATGTTTTGCCCCTATTATTTGACTATTGTCCACGACTAAAATCATTTAGTGGTGATCTCCTTTGATTTGATAAATGGGAACTCCGTTGTCATGTTCACACAATCATAGACCAAGGTGTCATGAAACAACAATCCCTCCTTTGTTTTTGGTAAGTTCTATCTCTTTCTTTCTTTTACTTGAAATGACTAGTCAAAAGGTCAGTCTCAGTATAAAGAAAAAATAAATGATTTCTCCCAGCTTCTTTTTCTAGTGTCAACCTCTGAGAAAAGTGAAGACACATAAAAGGTTTAGGTAAGTCCTTGGAAACCCCTTCATCTCTAATCAAGACACAGAAAAGTGAAGACGCATAAAAGCTTCTTGCCCTCACTCCCACCTACACCCCTTTATTTATAGAGAAAATGAAGGGAGATAGGATTGAATCTTGTTCAGCTACAATGCATGGAATTTAATAGGGATTTTTTACATAAATAAGCAAATATTTTTCAAAGAAAACGGTGCTTAATCGAGTTTTCCTCTTTGGTGAATGATTTTATTCGATTTAAGGGTGGTTTTCATGGGTTTCGTGCGTCCAATGGGAGCTTGGGGAGTGTCTATCATGGTAGACTCGTATTTATGACTGACAGTGAAAGAAAATGTAAATTTGATGAACTTTTAAATGTGGTTTTATTTTTTCTCAATATTAAGTGGGGGTATCTTTGGGTTTTGGGGCTTTTGGATCTATTAGGCTTAATTTCATTGGTCTAGGTGTTTGAAAAGGTTAAGAATAGGTGTGGCATCAGCCATCACCCTTTTGAGGTTTCAATTAGGGATAGGTGATGTGGCAATTTAATCTTATGCATCAAAGTGGCATCTTCCTAGTTTAACAGTCAAACAGGTGAATTATGATGTAAATTTTGATGTGCTGGGGTTTTTGGGTCTCTGAACACAGTGGTGAGGTCTGAATGGTCAAGATGATGGAGATCTATGACTAACAAGTTTGGATTAATGAGATTTACTAAAATATAATCTTTTTTTTTATGAATGGTCAAATGGGGGGATTTGGGGATGAAAGTGATGGATCTAGGTGTGTAAGCGAATCAAATCAAGCAATATCCAAATTCAAATCCAATTAAAAAATATGATATCCGAATTTGATTCAATATCCAACCGATATTGAAAATTAATATTCGAATTTGAATCCGATTAAATATTTGAATATTCGATTCGATTTGAATTCAATTAATTAATTATTCTAAGTAATTAATAAATATATAAAATAAATATTTTATTTATATAAAGTATATAAATATATAAATTATTTATATAATTTAATGGGTCAATTTCTTAAACTACCCTTATGGTTTAGCTAATTAACTAAGTGTACACTTACTGTTTGAAAATTGACTAATGCTACCCTTATTGTTTTTGACAATTGACTAATACTTCCCTTACTATTCACACTTGTTAATAGAAAGACAAACAAGACTATTTTATCCTTTATTCTTCTTCAAATTTTCAAAATAAACAGGGAAAAGGGGAAAGAAATGTTGGTTCATCAAACCCTATTGGAGCTCCTGGAAGTAGAAAGAATGGCCCTAACAATCTTAAAAGCATATATGAAAATAATCTTCTGACTATTATAGCATAACTTAACGGGAAAGTCTCAAATCCATCCAAGGGGCTCCATGCTCCTTCTTCCTCTTCTTATTTTTCTTTTTCTTTCTGCCCTGCTGCACCACCACCGCTACATCTGAAATGATTGACAATCCGTTGCATCCATTGCCCCCGGCATCAGAAAGGTCAAACTAGTTGAGGGAGCTCACGTTTCAGTCTCCCAAAGCAAATCATAGGCGCTCGAACCAGTGGCGGTAGAGGGCAAACCAACATGGGAAAATGTGATTAGCCTGCGAAAGCTCGGACAGTAGGAGAGGCATCAAAGATTTTTTATCTCTAAGATTGAAACCCCAACTTGAAGCAAGTTCAGTTGCTGAAGGGCAACCGGAGAAGCTCTCAAGCGGATTGTGCTCATGAGAGGTGGAAATAGAGCAGTTCCCATGTGCGACCCCCTCCTGTCACCTCTGGTCTCTCTCTCTATCTCTCTCTCTCTCCCTATCTATCTATCTCTCTCTCACACACACACATTCTTCTTCCCCTTCATTCTCTCCCTTGTTTCATCACCCCTTCTCCATTCGAATACCAAACTAATTCACCATCTTCTCCCTTCGCTCTCTAAAGTCCGCCTCCACTTCTACGATTTGATCAGAAATCAGAATGTTAAACTGTAGTAACAGGCTATTGGCCACCTAGTCCGAGATGTATGACCGGGTGCAAGAGTTTGAATTTTAATCAAAATGTTGAACTGCGGTAAGTTCTCTAGGAATGTTGATTTTTATAGCTCAATGGGAGTCGCGACGAGGGAGGGGGTAATATTGGGTTTTAAAAGAATTTTAAACACCACGTGGTCTCACGTGTATACAGGTTTTGATGAAATAATAATGAATGCTAATGATAAGGGAAGTATTAGTCAATTGTTAGAAAAAGTAGGGGTAGCATCAATCAATTTTCAAATAGTAAGGGTACACTTAGTCAATTGGCTAAACCATAAGGGTAGTTTAAGAAATTTACCCTAATTTAATTATATATATATATATTTAAATATTTTATATATTATATATAAGAATTAAACAATTTGTCAAATTCAGATATTCATTGAATCGAATAAGGTTATACTCGAATTCGAATCCAATTAACTATTTCATATGAATAGGATATCCGAATTTGATTCGATTATGATGAATCTCGAATTTGAAATCAGATTTTCGAATACCGTCAACACCCCTAGATGGATCTTTGATCAGAGGTGTAGATTGACAGATTTAGTTTGGGTTAATTGTTTATCAATTAACGATATGACCCAAAATGGAATCTCACTTTTTTTACGTCAAATGAGGAGTTTGTCATGAAATTTTATGTGCCATGGTCTTTTTTTTTTTGTTTTCTTAGCACAATAGTGAGGTTTGATTGGTCAAATGAAGCTACGATGATGGAGGCGATAACTTCTAATCTATAAGATTTGCTGAAATAGGATCTAAACTTGATGGTGGGTCAAATGAACCAGTTTTAAGCTGAAATTTGGTGGGTGGGCACAAATTAAGTTGATGAGTCAAGTGGATGGTTCTGATATGAGAAAGAAATGGCCGATCTTGGTAATTGTTCAAGGCCATCAAAATGCGACCTTGGTATTTTTATAGTTGGTTATCATAGATTTGCAGTGGGATTCACTAATTGATTGTATCCTAGTGATCTCGAGACAATGGATCATTGGACCAAGGGCATTAGAAAGAAATATGGTGTGATGAACGATGAATGTGTAACTAATTTATAGTTTCCTAAGTTTGTAGGCCATATTTGATTGGATATTGATGTTGATTTCGAGGTTTTCATTTATCTTGTGGATTGTTTCAAAAGATGAATTTTTGACTTTGTAAAGTCTCAATCTGGTCTTGTTGTGATTCCAAGATTTGGAGTTTAAAATGAGGGTACAAAGAAGTAGGGTGAAGGAACCGAGCAAAAGTTGGGTGCTGACAATTGCCCCTCTTTGTTGGAGGTATCAAGCTGTCAAACAATAAAGAAAAAGAAGTACACGAAGATTTTTGTAAGGGACAACATGTTAAATGAGTAAATTTTGCTGTTGAAATTGATGTAGTGCAAAGCCTTTGCTTGGAAAGTGTAGTACCATTCCAAGCCCTAAAAGGCAATTGCAACTCAAACAAACTAATAAAGAACACAACGGTGCCATCATAGAAATAGTGAGTATTAGTTGATGATTAATGAGTTGGTTTGAAGGATTTGATAAAGTTTAGAAATTTGTTATTTGATGAAACTTGTTAAGTTTTTATGGACTTTGATTTTTGATGTTACGCATTTCAAATTTGTTAAGGTTTACGTTGAGGACTTATTTTTTATATTTTATGTTGAAGTTTGAAATTGTTATGGATTTTTTTTTGGTGTTATGCATTTCAAATTTGTTAAGATTT